CCAAAGGCCCGAAGCGGGGGGGGCACCGGCGGCTCCGGCGCGCCAGCAACCGCATTGCAGCAGGGCTGTCCTCTGCGGCAGGACAAGGGGACGCGCCACTCGTGACCATGGCACCCGCTGCCGGAGGGGCTGCGAGCAGAGCCCAGCAGCCAAAACCACCCCCCTGAGCTGGAGGGCAAAGCCCAGGGCGGCCCCCCCCAAGCCTTGCACCCCTGTTTAGCAGCTGCAGGAGCAGCATCGCCTCCCCAAGCTCCCGCTTGCCCCGGCTGCCCCGGCACTGCTTTGGCATCCTTCGCCCAAGGCTGGCTGTGCTCCCAGCTGCCGGCTGAATAACACTCCCTACAAATAACCCACCGGCCCCCCGCACCTGCCGCAGCATCGCCCCCTTAGAGCCTTGTAGCTCCAGCAGATAATTCAGAGAGACGAATCTCCCGGCAGCGGGAGCCGTGGTTTACACCCAGACACATTTTAGCATTTTAGCTCCCCCCACCCCCATGTAGCAAAGACTCCCCGGGGGATTTCTAAGCTAAACCCCAAGCGGAAAGGTTACCCGGCCAGCGCGAATGGTGCCCAAGGCACAGCGAGCCCGTGCCGCTGCTCCCGCTTGCCTCCCCCTCTCTCCGGCCCCCCCCCGTCCTGGGTCGCCTCGCGCTGCTGAGATTTCCAGCTCGATGAATAATGAATGGAAAATGCAACCGGAGCCCGAGGCTGCGGCCAGGTGCTGGGCACAGCTCATCCTGGCACCCAGCGTGGCAGCTGGGGGATGCCAATGGGGTGGGGGCACCCCACAAGTGTGCCCAAGCTCACCCAAGCGCTCTCCCCCCTTGCCCTGCAGCACGGACCACCGGGTCAGGCAGGGCTGGCCGCATCCAGCCTCTTCCCGGCCAGTTTTGAGCTGCTGGCAAGTGCAGCAGGAGTGGCAGGGATACAGGGGGGTCTACAGTGTAATCGCAGTGGGAGCAGGTGGCTCTGACCCTACCCCAAAATTGCAGCACGGGTGTGAAGCACAGAGGGTTTTGCACGCCCGGGAGCAGCCAGGGTTTGATTTACACCGTGGTCGTTATCGCGCCATGGTCACCATCCGCAGCGCCGGCACCACCTGGAAAAGCCGCCGGCGAGAGCCCGGCAGTGCCAGAGGGGACACCCACCTGTGTGGGTGCTGCCGGCTGGCAGTGAAGCTGCATCCCACCGGCTCGCAGGCTGTCCTTGCTGCCACACCATGGGGCACATCGCTGCCAGCGCTGGCACCAACCCCGCCGAAGCGAGCGAGCCGGCGCCATTAATCCCCCTCTCGGCTCCTGGTCCAGCGGGGGACCCCGCCATTCCCCCCCGAGGCAGAACATCACCCCGGCCCCATGTGCCGGGATGCCAAAAGGATCTCACTCCACCCAGGCTGGCTTCCCTGGGGTGGTTATGGCAAACAGTTCCCACCCCAGTTACTCTGTTGACTTTGCCTTAAATGAGAGTGGTTTAATTATTAAACCAGGAGAAATGCTGCGATCCAGGCTTTTTTCCTGGGGCTCCCATTAGCACAGGGCAGCCGTGGCGCCAGCCCTCAGCCGGCCGGTTGAAATTCCCAGCCAGAGGACATGGCTACGCCGGCCATTTCCCCACGGGTCACCCCCCAGGACGGCCTGGGCTGCGTGGCTCCGCAGCCCCGTCCCTGTATCCCAGCAGCTCCCCTGGTCCCTGGGGATATCCTCGAGCCTTCTTTTGGGTTTTCCCTAGAGGAGCCATTTCCTTTACAGCCAAACCCCTATCGCTGCCACACACGAGGTGCGTCCACCTGCTGCTCGCTCCTCCCACCCCTACAAGCCCACAGGCACGCTTTTTTTTTTTCCACGTGCCCAATTTCACGCAGGCACGGTGCTTCCTACCCCCCGTCCCCCTCGCACACCCTCTGCGGGTGCAAACACCCATTCCCACGCAACCCCTGACGCCCTGCCCCACAGATCCTCCCCCCCCAAGCATCACCTTTTCCTTTGCTTAAGCTGCTCTTGGCGAGCCGTCCCTCTCCTCTCCTGGGCTGGCCGGGGTGCAGGGGGAGCGGGCGGGGGCGGGGGTGCCGATGCTGCTCCGACATGGAATAAGCTCGTCCCGGGCAGCTCCCCGCAAACGCCGGCTTTTCTGAAGCCTCCCCACCAGCCGCGGTCCTTATGGCATCGCCGGGGTCCCGGCCCCGTTATCACCGGCCTGGGGAGGGGGGAAAAAAAAAAAGAGAGAAAGAAATGAGAGCCACCACCGAGAGGGACACGGGGCTGCGGCCGGGCACTGCCCGGCTCCCCCGGGACGGCTGGACCAGGCCCTGGGTGCCCGCTGCCACCCCGAGCCTCCCGTCTCCCCACCCACTCCTGGCGGCACAGAGGAGGCATTCAGCCCGTTGCCTGCCAGCGCCGAAAACAAGGGGGCCGTTTGTCTCCATCTGCGGCGCCGGCCTCAACGGGGACATTGTCACCACCGGCCCCCCACGCCTGGCCCCTCCGCTCCCCCTGCATCGCCACCGCCAGCCCCCAGCCCGGCTTGGCCCCGCGAGCCGGCACCCACGGCAGCGGGAACGTGCTGCTGGCCGAGCTGGTGACGATGGCCGTCCCTCGGCGGTGGCACCCAGCGCCCCCCGGCCACCATCGTCCTCCTCCCGTGGGAGACAGCTCAAGGCCAGGCTGTCGCCTCCTGTAGCTGGAGCTCACCTCGGGGTGGGGAGCGTGGGGGGGCTCGGCCTTTCTCCCTTTCCCCGGTCCCACCGGCTGCGCCGGGACTTTGGGGTTCCCCAGGCACCCCACTCGTGGAGGAGAGCTGGGGGGCGTTCTGAAACCCAGGGGGTCCCGTCCTGCCACGACGTGGCTGTGCCCAGGGAGCTGAGCGGGCGCACCGTGGGAAGGGCTCGGCACCATCTGGCACCCCGCTGGTGCATCACCCCACGGTGGAGCAGAAAAGGGGCCATTGTGCGCCCAGATCCGGCCTTGGTGCTTCGCACCGCCCTCCAAGCCAGCTCGCTGCCGCTAAAGGCAGTGACGACCCAGCGCGCTTGCTTGGGCAGCCAAGCAAGCGGTGGCTGTGCCGGCATCCAGCGCCCTGGGGCTCGGCCAGCGGCGTAACCGCAGGGCACCCTTCGGCTGTGCCCCAAACCCACCCGAGTCTCCGTCCACGACAGAGGAGTTTGGGGTTCAGAGCTCGTCCCCGCAGGGCTCAGGGTCACCCTGCCAAGCGCCCGGGTGGGCAGGCAGCTATTGCCCCATCGCAGGCAGCGGCCACATCATGCCCTGCCTCGGCGGGACCGGTTCTCACTCCGGGGTTAACCTGCGCAACCCCCGGGGCAGCCCCAGCCAGTACTGGGGGACGAGAAAAGCCAGAATATCCTCCGTCTTCGTCATCGCAAAAGGAGGAACGAAGAGCCGCCGCCTCCCCATAGGCGCTGGCCCGGCTGGCATGTCCCTGCTCTCCTGGGACAGACATCCCCCAGCATCGCCAGACGAGGGATCCCACCTGGATCCTCAAAATTAAAGCCTGAGACCGTGCTGGCCATGCTGGGCTGGCTGTGGGCAGTGGAGAGGAGCAGGCTAGCGCGCAAGCAAGCACAAGCGTGCACTGCCCTAAAATCAAAAATCTCCTCCCAGGGGAGGCAGAGGCTGCTGCCAGGATGGGGACAGGAGACCTGTCCCTACTCAGAGGCAGCGTAA